AGCACAGGAAATGGATATCAGGTATCCCTCTGCTCCTTTTTTTATAAGAGTGCATGCCCTCTCACATACTCTGGGTTGAAGTTTGAACCGTCCAGAATTTGTTATGTCATAGGAAACACATCCAGAGAGCTTATGCAGCACATTTAAATAAATAGAATCTTGGCATATGGTATAAGGGTAAGGAAAGCTTCACAATAATCCTCATCCTCAAGCAGTGGGAAAAAAGAAGAAGCTGAATGCACAGCAATCAGTTGTGCAACAATCCAGGTGGCTTACTGGTGTGTGCAATGCATAATGCAAAGTTAAGGGTTTGATTTTGTCTGACAGTTGGAGCGCTGCAGAGTTTCAAATTTGGCCTTCAGTATTTTCTAAAAGTTAAGTGATTAAAGTGTTTCAATAAAGTGGAATTTAACCAGTAAGAAAAAGTTATTCCCATGTGGAATGACTCACGGCAGACATGCCCTTTCCTCTTCCTGTGTTGCTCTTTGTTAGCCAGCAAATGTTGGCCACAGACGTCAATGGTGTCTGTGAATAGTATACAAAATAACACCTGCACAGATTACTTTTCTTTGAGTGGGCTTGTGTTTGTCTGATCATTTTTCAAGTTTTTAGTACCTTACAATAAGCTTGTTGTTTTCTAAAAGTGAATGTTTGACTCGGAGACATTGCTTTTTTGCATAAGAATGAGGGGTGAACGGGCTGCTGTGAACGAAGATGTTAATCATCCATTCCAGATGTACTATTTTGTGCAGTTATCTTTTTATCAACATATTTAAATAAGTGATGTATTTCTGTCTGCTAAGTAGGGCAAACATGGGATCTATGAAAACCAATATTTGTGATTACATACTGTTAAAATGCAAAATTAGGTCCATCCATCCACCATAAGGTTTAAACATAAATGACTGTTTTATAGACTGTGGTAACTAATATCAACACTATTATTTTATTGTTGACTATTAACACTCTCCAGTAAGAGATCTGGACTCCCCATTCGAAGGTTAACGACCCAAAGAACTGCCGTGCAACTAGCTTCTTAGAAAAATAAAGAACCTGTTGGATTACAAGAATCAGATATTGGAAATGAATGCATAAGATACCACTAATCAATCATCCCAATCATCATTTCAGTATGTGTGTCACATGCACGTGTGCATTTCAATGCCCTCTCCAGAGAGCTGTCAGTTCTACAGTGATGTTCTCCACGTCCAGAATGGAAGACAGATTGAGCATTACGGGTGGAAAAATAATCACCGTGTTCACACGTGCGTGCAACTTTGCATTTGTGAGCACACGTGCAGAGGCCGGCAAGGGGTTGCTCGCTGACTCTTGTCGTGAAGATGGTGAAATAGAATGAAATCATAAACCTTGAGGTGTTTTTGATCTTTCACAGATGATTGAACTGACATGGTGCAGAAAATAAAGTAAAGGCTAACCTTGTTAATAGCTGCTAAACTTGACCTGGACTTTGTCGAGAATGGAGTGGATGTTATGCATTTGTAGATAATGCTAACTGCTTGAACATTCAGGTTTTTATCTTTTTTTTAAAATTATTTATATTTTCTGTGGACTTCTGCAACTGAAATACTTTTTAGACTCGTCAGTCAAATATGCTGTACGTCTGAGGCAGTCTTCAGCGATACAAAAGCAACACAGTTATTGTTTTTAATAGTAGCTTGATAGACTGTAGATGAGGCAGCAGGCTCCATTACTGTGTAGGGTATTTATATAAACAGTCCACAAGTTCACCCTGTTTACAGTTGTTTATATGAATGACTTTATGGTGAATTGCACCATGGGTGTGACAAGTTTGTTTTGACCCATCTTCAATAAATCTTGTAGATTAACTTTAATTTGTTTGGAAACTATAGCTACTTGTGAATTTTGCAATTATTCAAGCATAACATGAAACAAATGATCAGTCAAAAGATGCAATTGGTGCAAGTCTATTCATAGTGAATGTTGCATATCACAAGCATAGGTATGATCTCTGCAGAATACATTTGCGATTGCTATTTGACTTGAAACGGCAAAAAAAAGTAGTGCATATTAAGGAGCAAACATTACGTTTTTGCTGCACATCTCATTGTAAAATTGTTTAGTTATTTTCTTTTTCTACATTTTTTGTTTTTGTATACAGTGACAGGTGTCATTAAATCCCTGTGGTGAGCAGGGATGATGGTATGTTGTTCATGATAAAACAGGCTTGTGTTGTCTATAAAGTTAGCGTGGAAGGTGTAATTGAAATAAGTACCAAAAAGACAGAGGACAAATTTAAAGGCAATTGTAAGATGGAGCCTGTAATCAGCTATGTATTTTGAATCTGTCCTTTAATTCAAGATGTGTATAGGAAGCAAGAATAATTAAAGGTCAGTTTGCTTGTGTGTATTTGTATGGGTGCAAATGACAAACAAACTAAGTCCTCCAGACGTAACTAAACCAGGGTTAGTCTCTACTCCTGAAGAGAGGTTTTACTCACAAAGTACAAATAATTTGACATTTATTCCTGAGATGCTATCCATCACTGAAACACTTTTGCAGTACTCTTCGTTTCTTCCTTGAGCAGGTTGGCACATGAAAGAGAAACTTCATCTGGGTGTATCTTGCAGTTATATTTGTTTTTTAAGGCTTTCATCTGTCAGCTGCAGGATCCTGCTATGACGCACTGAGATCATCATCATCATCATCATCTCCACCCCAAGGAAACAGCTCTATTTTAAACAAACACACACACACACACACACACACACACACACACACACACACACACA